AGCACACTTCATTCTAATTTTCTCATTTTCCAAGGAGAATTCTTCAGTGAGCTTGGTGGAAATGAGATGTCTGCCTTCTTTGCCAGGATGGCAATCATGATGGATATTAGTGGGTTCTGCCTCTGAGGGAGAGGGAGCTATAATTGATGTCTCCCTTGATGTCATGTCCCCAGAGCTCCTTGTTGACCCAGCCCTCACCAAAAACAGCTTTGTTCATCTAAGAACGCTTTAGATATTGGATGCAAAAAGCCATGTGTCAAAATGTTTAGGGCTCAAGAAATGAGCTTTCAAGTAAGCTCAAAAACATGAAAACACTGCGAGTATACTGTAATGTTGAAAACACTGCATGGTGCAGAAGAAGAAGAAGGCAGCAGCATCATTATTCTCAGAGGGAAACAGTATTGACTGGTTTACGTAATAAATTAGGATTGAAGAGCGCTCTGAAATAATGGGGGCCAGGATAAAACTAAGAATATACTTTTCAAGGTTTAGCTAATAAAAAACTCTAAATATTTAATGATTACTCTCAAAATAAACATTTTTATTGAGTAGGTAAGCTCTTTAAAATAAACCTAATAAATTAAGTGACATTAGGCTGAGACTTTTTTTTTTTTTTTTTTAATGCTGATACTGTAGATTCCTAATAAAATTCAGAGCTGGGTCAGCACCAGTGAGAGTAATAGTCATGTTTCATTTCATTAGCAAAGTTAATCTGCATCAGACTTTTAGAAAAAGCACAAAACCAAATTGACACACTTTAAACAACTGTCCCAAATAATGTTTGTGGGTGGCAGCGTGTTTTTTATGATTATAAATCTAGAAGAACCTGTCTTTACCAAAACCCAACTTTGAGTATCAAAATTACTCATTTGAGGGACATTCACAAGAATCAAAGAAAGAAAGTTGTTTTTCAGTAGTTTTACTCTTAGTTTGTTTTTTTCACCCCCAAAAGTAATAATGGAAACCTGGCACAGTAATGTATGGGTGTGCATATGTAGGTGTAATCAATGCGTGCACACATCTGCATGTGTTTTTGTATAAATTCCCCTGATTGATCTGTTTTCCTAACGGTTTCAGTCCTTTAAAATGTAAAGATGAGTCCTCCTGAGTGGCTTGTAAAGAGAAATATAGACGAGGGAGATCAGTATTGTTGTTTTTTCCTTCAACTTCTTTGTTTGCATTTATATTTTTAATCCATCATTAAAACTGTAAGACTGATACCAACTAGGCATGATAAAACCGTTTTAGCTGTCAATTTTACAAAAAGAAATACTCATTTAGCCCTTATTTGCCTTGGTCTCCGTTTCTTTTTTTTTGTTTGTTTGTTTATTTGGCTTTAGCTCTTCATTGCCGTTACAGTGCATGGATTTGCAAAAATGATAGTCCTGCAGAGCTCTTAGCATTTACTTAATTAAATGAACTCTTCCTTGATTTGCTGTGTTGTGGAAAACAACATTCACTCTTTCGCCACAAATGAGAACAATATTGTCACCTGTTAGCTTGCCTTGAAGTTTAAATTAGATGGTTTGAGTTAATCAGATCCAAAAACAGGGTGACTACGAGCATGTTTTAAACGTCCGAACAGCTTACAAACAGAAAAAACATGTCGGGGCCTTAAGGATCTCTGTGACTGGTGAACTAATTCTGCTTCTTTTGGTGAAGTCAGATGATGTGTAGAGACGTCGGGTGGCCTTTGGGGTTGATGAAAGACCTGCTGCCATGTTGCATCTGTTCTTCTGATTTTATATGAAGTCCTTGTTTATGCCCTTGAATGAAGCAAGTGAACATGTTTTAGTTTCAAACGACTGCTCAGATTTCTCTTCAGAGCCAAATTACAGTCCTTTCTGCAGCTCGTCTCTTCTGTCAGTCCTTCTACTGTGTGGTTTTTCTTTAAGCCATGAATCCTGTGGTTGTTGTGTGTTGGTCTCTGCTGTCCTGTGCCGTGTGGTCTCTGTGTTGCCTGGGACCTAACCTGACATCATGTTTCCAGAACGAGGAAAGAACTTTTTATTTTAAGCTTATCCTCCCAGTTAGTCTTGTATACCCTAACGGAGACATAATCTGGGTTCACTCACTGCGACGAGAACTTATCTTGGGTTTGATGAAGAGAAGAGCAGAGGACAGTCCTAGCACCTTTTTCTTCCTGATTCATTCACGTCCTGCCTGATATGAAACACTCAGCAGGAAACGGTTTAAAAAAGTTGCACCAGTACGTGTCTTTTATACGTCTTCACTTAGCATCATTTTGTCAGTTCTTCCACGTAACAAGGTTTGTGCCAGTCCAGCTGCAGAGTTCATGTACACTAAAGACGGTGGTGTGGATGCTGCTGGTTTGATTTTAGTACTCTTTTTCCTTTCTTTTGCTTTCGTTGTCGTTTATCCTGTTGCCAACTATAGCACACATTCCAGTGAACATCAAGGGTATGGTATGTGCCTCAAGGTGTTTCAGCTTAAGTGGCCTCCAGGATTACACTGTATGGGAATTGTTCAGATAGATGATTTAATCTGATGTTTATAGAATCACTTATTTTATTGTTAATTTTTTAAGCATGTGTATTCATGTACAGCTATCTACACAACATTAACATTTTCTGGATGGCTGTCAGTTTGGATTCTTGCTTCATTGTTTTTTGTATTTTAACTTTAGCTTTTTTTTTTTTTTTTCATCTTAAATCCAAAGATGGTGTTGATTTCTGGTCAAACTGTAACTACTTAAACAGTGTCGCACTGTTGATGTAGTTACAGTTTGACCAGAAATTGACCTGTGAAAATGTGCTACATCAGCGTTGGATAAGTGTTGACGTAGTTTGCATTTAAACATTTTTTAAATGCCTTTTTAGTTGAGAATCTAAGCCCTGGATGTTGTAGATGTCTGCTCTGAGTTTCCAGCGCTCTATGTTTGATTAAATGTTTTACAGCGTTGATCTCATGCTCAGTCCCTTCAACCTTTAAACTTGTCATTGTGTTAATGACGAGAAGAGCAGAGGTCACAGGACAGAGCTCATGCTTGGCCACTGGGGGATTCAGAAAGAGTGTCTCCTGATTAAAAACTGTGATGCTGCTAATTTGGTATGGCATGTTTCAAATTGAAATGCTCAATGAGGTGCTGAGAATGGATGATCGTGATTGATTTAGGAAATATTGTTCAAGTTAAGAGGTAAGCAAGAGGTAAATGTGCTTTCATAGCCTTGTTGTCTAAAGTTACTTAAATATTTCTGATGTTAGCTGGCTTTCCATTACTCTCTATTTCTCATGGAAAAGCAGAGAAAAATGATTAAAAAATGCTTAGTTCAATGAGAAAGTGAACGAAACTATTAAAATGCTTTGACCACTAGTATTTTAAACATGCCAATATTACTGATGCTTCTTTAATGCTCTCTGTGCAGGTGGAGCTTTAGCACAGGCTAAGCTAATTATATCCACATATTTTGGTATTTATAAACTCGGGCAGCAGTTTGAGACTCCACATTTCAGCTCCTCTAAGGATCGTGGCTGATTTGGGCTTTTTATTGGGCCACTCAGAAGTTTTATCTTTTTCCTTGCTGCTGTAGACTTGATTCACAGTTTCTGTGTCAGTTTTTCATGTTTCTGCATAGATGCCTGTCTATAAATAAGTCACAGAACAACTCTTCATATAGAAAATCATCTACTCTTATTTTCCTTGATGTTTTATCTCCTTCTGCAAATTTGTTCACATCTCTTGCCCTGGCCCTGCTCACGCCTTTTGATTTAAAGGAATATTAGAAAGTATAATCAGATTTTGGTGCACTGATGTGCCTTCAGGGATGTGCTTTAGAAATAAATGGGCATAGAGAAGCATAAAAATGATACCTTTCATCTTCTGTCTTATCTCTCCTCAGTGCCAGACGACCTCACCCCAGAGGAAAAGCAAGAGCTGGAGAATATCCGCCGGCGAAAGCAGGAACTGTTGGAGGACATTCAGGTAAGACTGAAAGAGGACGTGTAGGCTGAGGTAGATTTACATGAACACTAAAAGGTTTAAAATCAGATGGGCTATGAATGCATCTGTTTAACAATGAAAAGTTTCACTAATTTGTAATTGATAAAAACAAAAGTCACTTGATCTTTTGTATAAAACCTGAAGCACATTTATGTATGTTAGTAAAAGAAAAAGTACTTTTTTGCTCTGATCCACAAATGTTTTTATATCACTGGTCAAGTTAAACAAGATATTAAAATGTATTTGCCTGAAATTGAGACTTTATAGTTGTCTTCTGAACAATAACCTCTAGAGGAATGATGCTCACTTCCAAGGGGCTGAGATGGGGTAGAGGTAGGGCAGCCGACTTGGGATCAGAAAGTCGTTGTTCAACTCCCCGCCATGTCCACGTGTCGTGCTGTCCCTGAGCAAGACACCCAATCTCTAATGCTCCCCGGGCACTTGCATAGCTGCCCGCTGCTCCACCTGAGTGTATCTCAGGTGTGATGGGTTAAATGCAGAGAACAAGTTTCATCATTGTGTGGAAACATACAATGATGACAACACATAGCCTTGACAAATTGCATTTGTTTTTTTCATTTGTGTTGTCTTTTTGTCATAAGATAGTATAACAAACTTGTATTTACGGATACAAGTTTGATTTTTGGGTTCTTTAAATGTTGGTTTGAATACAACATGGGTGAAAAAATTACAACTGGTTCTGTAAGTAGTGTAGATAGATTATGACAGACTTTTATGACTGTTTTTCCCATTAAAATCCTGCATACAAATGAGCTCTGAATTTCCATAAAAGTGGTTTATTGATTCCTGCCCAGAGTCCATGGTTAGCTGTTCAGGTTGGCCCTGTCACTCACGGACCATCAACAGGAAGTAAATGACTCACACAGGGGTGAGAATATGGCTGACTTGACTTCTGCTGGTCCTGATAGACTCTGGAGGTGCAATCCATCACCATTTTTTTTATGAGTCTGGAGCACCATTGCTGCCCTTCCCCCCTGTGACAACCACTGCTGCTGCCTCTGTTCTCCTTTCCTCAACCCCTCAGTGGTCTGCACACTGACCCCTCTTCTCCTTTGTGACTCCCACACCCTCCTCTACTAATCCTGCATGTTAAACCTACTCAACAGCCCCCCCCCCCCCCCTCTACCACATTCCCCCACACATGCACATGCAACCCTCAGTTTTGTTTTCTGTGTGAGCATAGCCCTTTGTTTGTGGAGGGAAACATCCAAAGAATGTGTTGTGATTGCACAGGCCTTGAAAACACAGATGTTTCTTTGTGGTTTAGTAAGTTAGACTTTTGCATAAGGAACGATACACCAACAGGGTTTAAATGAAGTGGCTTGGTGAATATTAACTTAGCATATTTAAACCCACTTATCATAGACAGTAGCCACGCTTGTATTTATGGCCAAAAATGTTTTATCAAGCTGATGTCAACCTTCTCATCCTCTTCCATCCTCAGTACCCTTACAGTACTGCGCCAGTCTGGCACCAGCGAGCCCGAATAATCCACTAAATCTGCCTCTGAGGCCATTATTCACTTAAAGGCTGCATAAAAATATAATCCATTTATATGCTTTCTTACTCAGTTCATATTGAGGTTATCTCCTAATGTGCTCTGCTCATTGAAATTCAGATTGAGAGGGTTGATAGGAAGAGCACACATCCAAACAAAGTGTTTAGTTTACTTGGGGAAGCCTGACTGTACAGTGTTGTCTGCAAAAAGAGCCAGCTCTGCTCTTTTTGTTGAGCCATGGTGAGTTTATTCATGTAATAAAAGTCCACCTGCTCGACACACAGGTGATGGGACCACACCCTCAGCCTCATTTCATAGAGCTCTTTCTTTAATACAGAAACTTTTTCTTTTTGTTTTGTTTGGTCACACATATTCATACCTCACTGTGGTTTCAGTGTACAGACGATTCCCAACACCTGAAGACATTTTTTTTTCTCTTGCAGCGGCTGAAAGATGAGATAGCAGATGTGACCAGTGAGATTGAGAACCTTGGTTCTGCTGAGGAGAAGTAAGGAAATGGGACTTCACTCTCCTCCCTCACACTCTGTTTTGCCTAAGTTGGCTCATTGCTTTCCTTCTATTAAGTTAGCAAAATGAAACTGTCAATTATTCATGTTTGATGGCTAAGTCAGGCCTTCTATCACACCAAATGCCCTCCCTACATTGGCTTTGCTTTTAAGGCAGTTTAAATGTTTCATCAGGCACACCCCCATGATGGGAGTCCTCATTGAATAATGCAGTGGGTGTACTGGTAGAAGCAGACAATAGATGGTCTCAGGAGAGGGAGCGCTTGGATCTGCTCTACTCAAGCGGATAGGGATTCTGTCGGAAAAAAATTTGTGAAGCAGACTTTTACTTTCATGAGGATGCAGAGGATAGAATGAGAGGGAGGAGGATGACTCGCTGTGGCGACCCCTGAAGGGGGCACGGCCAAAAGAAGACGTCTTACTTGCACCTGAAACTCATAAAGGACCTTTTGGTGATCTGTTATGTGTTGAGTTTGATGAAATAACAAAAAAAGTTGTTTATTATCACAGACCGTTGTTTTCAAAAACCAAAGAGATGTCTCATCAGCTAAAAATGGCGATGGCACACTAGATGTGCACTTTGGCCCCTAAATTATTCAAAAGCTGAGAAATGAGACATTCCCTGTCATCCTCTTAACATGTCACTTGATCAACACCTTATCACAGTATCACAATCCTAATAACATCTTCTCCAATGGTGTTACTCTTGTTGGACCTCGTTTCTGGCAGTATTGTAGTACCGGTATTTTTAAACGTTATTAAATTAGCTTGCATTACAGTATATTTTGAAATATTTAGCATAATTTTCAGTCATATCATCGATGAAATTATTAATTTAGTCACAAAAACACTTGTTTGTACTTGTCATTCATTATTACACATATACCAGCAATTTACACGTTAACAGTGATTGTTTTGACATTTTAGGAAAAATATGCAAAGGAACAAACAGGTGGCCATGGGCCGTAAAAAGTTCAACATGGACCCCAAAAAGGTTGGTGTTAATAATAACTGTTATTATGTGAGTTTTCTGACAGGTAGGTTGTAACTGAGACCTGATCTTCTTCACAGGGCATCCAGTTCCTGATTGAGAATGACTTGCTGAAGAATACCAGTGACGACATTGCTCAGTTCCTTTACAAAGGCGAAGGCCTAAACAAAACAGCCATTGGAGATTACCTCGGAGAGAGGTCAGGAGAAAGTTATTTTTGTTTTACCATCTGCGGTGATTTGATCCCGATTTACGAGCACCCATTCACTTGACTGATGAAATGGAGAGTGCATCCCTGTTGCTTTGTTTCCACTTTGTCAGGCACACACTCATCTGTTCCCAAACACTGATTATTAGTTCCACATTTAAATCATCTTCTCAAGACGATGTTCGATTCTCACTCTTCCTCCATTTTTAATTATCATACTCATCATAAGTAACATGACCAGGAGTCTCATTGCTCGGGACTCAAATGTTTGAAAGTAAAGAGTTCACTGGAAAGTGAGCACACAGTACTGGAAATCTTGATCCTCATGTTGAGTCTGCACTGCTCAGGGACTATAGTGTGGACAGTGGTGCTCTCAGGGTGGGTCTTCTGTTGAGTCAGATCATGACTTTTCTCACAGCTGGATTGTTATCAAGCTTTTAAAGTGTTTGTGAAGGAGTCGTGAGATTTGTGTGGTCATTTGTCCACTGAAAGTGGTGGTGACTGGATACGCCTCTGAGCTCCGAAGAGCTTTACAGTCATCCCAAAGGACAGATCATTTACTCTGAAGGACAGAAAGGTTGGGATGATCTCATGAGCTAGAGCAGATAATGAGTAAAGATGGATAGGAGGGTTTAAAGTCTACTCATTCATTCAACCTTTATTTATACACTCTGTTTGATTTGCAGTGAGTAACATATTTTGGTCTCAGCCACAAAACTGAAACGTCATCAGACACATTTCTTTCAGGTCCTCTGACATTTCAGATGAGTTCAATCACCTCGAGTCAGTTAAATTAACTAAATGTATTTGCATTTTTATAGATTCATGTTGGTTTTTGAGTTAATAAAACACTTTTTTTTTTCAAAGGCAACTAAACTTATTATAACCAAGCAACTGTTGCTCTTTAAGGATAATTGATACTTCACTTATTAAATTCCTAATCTTTTATTATAATGTAAACATTGCTGTGCTGGGCTGTATTCTTCTTTTGTGAAAATATTATTTGAGTAGTTAATCAAACTATTACTACCTTTGAAATTTATCACGATTTAAAGCCCTATTATATATATATATAAGTTATTTTGTCGTAGAGAATCATCACCCGGTGTAATAAAATCCTTTTGTCTCCTGTAGAGATGACTTTAATATCCAAGTCCTTCATGCCTTTGTGGAGCTTCATGAGTTCACCGACCTCAACCTTGTTCAGGCCCTGAGGTAAGAAATCTTTTAGCATCCGTTACAAAAAAAGTATCTGGTCTTTTCTTCATAGCTTTGGTTGTTTTGATGTAAATTGTAATTAAGACGATTTTTAGGGCTAGCTCTGTGAGGATGCAGCTATCAGTTTCAGTCTTGTGTCAGAGCAGAGAAGTTTTTATTTTTCAAGGAAGTGAGAGTGTTGCTGATTAGTCGTTTCCCCCGACAGACAGTTCCTCTGGAGTTTTCGTCTGCCTGGAGAAGCCCAGAAGATCGACCGCATGATGGAAGCCTTTGCTCAGCGTTACTGTCACTGCAACAACGGTGTTTTCCAGTCCACAGGTAGACGTTGTGTTCCACAGTTCTGCCTAAACTGCTGGATGGTTTGTTTTAAATTTGCTTTGTATTTTCTTGGCACTGATCATTTTTTTTGCAACAGAATTTAGCATGAGGAGGACGGGACCAAAGGTTTGGGGACACTTTCAAAATAAACTGTTAAATGTTTTCATGTCATTATGCGTTGCTGTCTGTTAATGTACCTGGGAAGGACATACAAATACAATAAATGGGTTAAAATATTGAAAAAAACATCTATATTAGACTGCTTTGATTTATTATTTTTTAAGTTGCCACTGAAACGTACAAGTATCCATGATGAACTGACACTTAATGGTGTTCAGATGCAAAGACCACTTGGTGTTTGGGAAACAATGATGGTCTCTAACATAAACGCAGATGGATGTAAATATTTTATATGGTTGTCTTCTAAAGTGCTGCTGGGTCAGCTGTGTGATTACCATGTTGTCTTTTAGCTCTTGTTTGTGCGTCTCACACACACACACACACACACACACACACACACACACACACACACACCCATACTTAACTGCCCACTTAAATCTGTCCACTCTGCTGTAGCATTTACGAAGTGAGATGGAGGAAGAAGGGTGCAAGTTGCTCCAGTCCACTCATTTGTCTAACAAAGACGCATCTGTTTACTCTTCTTACCTCCACTGTGATTTGAACAGAGCAGCACATTCAGCTCAACTGGTTTTAATTTGCCGTATATTTTTGATTATAAGGCGCATTAAGCGAAACAAGTTAATTTTGACAGATTTTTGAGCGCCGCGTACCAAATAAAAACGGTTCGAGGTCAGTAAGCACAACCAGAATTAATACATAAGGCGTACCGGATTATAAGTCTCACTGTCGATTTGAGAAAATTAAAGGATTTTAAGTGCGCCTTTTATTCTGAAAAATATGGTATATTTAAAAATGACTATAAAATGGCGCCATCTTTATGGCAAGCATGAACCTTTCAGCATCTTGAATCTCTCTGACTTTGCGTTGCAGACACTTGCTACATCCTGTCCTTTGCCATCATCATGCTGAACACCAGTCTTCACAACCCAAATGTGAAGGACAAGCCCGGTGTGGAACGATTTATCTCCATGAACCGAGGCATAAACGACGGAGGAGACTTACCTGAAGATCTGCTCAGGGTGAGCAGCACCTCCACATTCTGGTGGTCTTCTCTCAAACATGCCTTGTATTCACATTTAACTCCTTGATTCAGAACCTGTACGATAGTATCAAGAACGAACCGTTCAAAATTCCAGAAGACGACGGGAACGACCTCACACACACTTTCTTCAACCCCGACAGAGAAGGCTGGCTGTTAAAACTGGGTGAGTGATTCATTTTATGGGTTCATACTTTTTTTCAGAAACACTCTGGAATGAGAGCACTGATTGTTTTCACTCTTCTGATAAATGACATGGTTGTGTCTGCGTTTCAGCGTGTTGTAGAGGCTGATGGATGCCTCCCCTGAGGTCAGCAGGCTGTGAGCGAGTGTGTGTGTGTGTGTGTGTGTTAATAGGTGTACACACACTCAACTCGAGACGTGCAAATGTCTCAACTTTAATGTATAATATATGTAGCCTTAAAAGACCAGACATGGATAAACATTTTAATTATTTACAACAAATTCACAGACTGACATGGAAAGCATTCACAAAATACTTATTTACAGTAAAATATTGACGTTTTGTAAATTAGGAATATATGCAAACATTTTACAATTTAATAAATATTAGAAAGGTGCAAATTTTAGATTTTTGTGTAGTGGACGCTCCCAACAGGAGAAATATATGCATTATCTCAACAAACGGCATCTTCAACTTTAATTTTTACTAGAACTTGGTGCCAGTAGAGCAGTGTATTGACTTTGATGACCAGCTCAATTTTAAATGAGCAAATTGTTGGGATTCAAAATGTTCACAATCTTTTGAAAAAGAAAGCACATCTCTGAATACTCCAACTCTCAAGCCTCTATTTCCTCTGACATTTTTCTCTGTTGTACAGATTCAAAGTGAAAGGGTGAATTTACAAATTTGATCTTAAAGTCACTGTGAATCTTTACAACCTGCTGTACCATCGAATATGAGAACTACTTCCTCCATTTTACTCCTGACTGGTTTAATTGAGTTATATAATCAGGGTGGAAGATTGGTTTCCTGATATAACAGAAATGGACCCAAGTAGAGGTTAATATTTCATGTAGTGCTTTACAGTAGCTTTCTAAAGTCTGCATTGAGTAGAGCGCCCTCTTGTGGACAGATAAAGTGATTAAACTGTAAAGCAGTGCATCAAAGCCTCACTGGAAGCCGATTACAAAGGTCTGTGGTGCTAATTCTTTATCATTTAATTTGATTTGTTATGTTTTCTTTTCCTCTTCGTTTGTTTGTTCCCATGATTTTGGCTGTTGTCTTTCCTCAGGAGGTATGTACACCTGCTCTTCCCCAACGCTAGTCCATCTTTCAGCTCTCGGGTGCTTTTGGTGGTCTGCCATGCTTTTGTTCTGTTCTTCATTTAATTACGTTCAAAACAGGGTTCTCTCCGATTTGTTTTTGTCTCTTCATCGACTCATATGAATTCCAGATGTTTGTCTCTTGTTTGTCATTGAGCTGGAGGTTTCTCCGCACTGTTTTATCTTCATTGGGCAGTCGGCGGGTGAATTTGCCACCTCGTGGGTTTATCTCGGTGCGCTGCTGCTCTGTGACCGCTCTAACGAGCACCGTTTTTGTTCTCTGTATGCTCTGGTGGTCGCTCTCTTTGATCTTTTTCCCGGGAAGTTGCATTATGCCTTGTTTCCATTCATCGAGCACAACAAAGAACTTTTTAGAATCGATCAAAAACCAACGAAGCATTGGGGAGTTGTTGTTTGCTCTCTGGCTGCGTGGAAAAGGGAATACTGCATCTTTTCATCAGCGTAGCTCTGCTCTACTTATCTCACGCCAGAAATTAATCTGAAGAGTAACGGCGGCCGCAGCCTGTTGTGATGCTGGACTGGAATGGACTAAACTGTGGGAGAGGAGTATAGACCAAGGAGTGTGTGTAATAAAGGACTCAGACATGCATAAGCATCTTCTACCAAACATTAAAGAGTAAATTCTTCCTAAAAAATCCATAATGAAAACCTGCTTCCTGTTATCCGTCCTCCCACAGTCCTGCATGGGTGACTCCGTCCTTTCGGCTCCACTCCAGCCCAGCACCACCCACACACCCCTGCAACAATCTGCTGGGATGTCCCGCCACGTCCCGCACATTATTGCTCGGGAACTGTGTTTTACGAGTGACAGAAATTCACATCCAACCAATCGCAACCGTCAGCTGTGTGATTCTGTCATGGCGTTTATCTGTCAGTCTGGTTTTTTTTTATTTTCTGTTGCAACATTCAAATGTGTCTTCATGTGATGAGGAGCTACAGATCTCCATCTGTCAGTTGTCGTTGCTGTCTGTAGATACTAAGCTTAAACGGAGGTGTCTGACCTTCTGATGCGTCATATACAGTGTCGCTGCTGTGATATGATGAAAAGACGTGTGTTCTACATGTTTGTACAAAAACATCTTTAAACCTCACCTGTTGGGTCTCACAGTGCATCTTTTTACTAACATGGTGGTGGTATATTCTAGTCTAGATCAGCAGGATATTCGTGTCTTCGATGCCGTTAGGGAGGCTGAACATGGCAGAGCCCGGTTTGTTGACATCCCAAACTCCCAGACTTTATCTGCCAGCTGCTTCTGTAATCAGGTTTCACCTCACAGGAAGTCCTGGTGTCAAAGAAGCCAAGAGGTCAACCTCAGATCAGCAAGCAGAGTTAACCATCCTGCTCCTTGTGGGTGTTGATAGTTAAAACCTATTCCTCTCCTAATTTTCCAAATTTATAGCTCATATTTAGAACTGCCTTCACAACGTCCTAATTTGAAAGTTCAGATGTAAATTTCTATTCACATCAATAATTCCCCTCATAATACATCCAAGTAGTTTTAACGTTTAATTTATTTGAGGCAGTCCAAATCTAAACGTTCAGAAATCTGTATTAAACTTTTTAGATTTTAAAATAATCTTTGAAGTCCTTGAATGAGTAAGAGAAGACAAATGTTTCCAAAGTGGTGAAGGGGAGCACTTTACCACGAGTCCCCTGAAGCTGTCATCTGTCTGTCTGCTCATACATCTGTCTGCCTGTCTGCTGCTCGATCCGGTGCTTTGGTGCTCGCTCCTCTCTCCTGGTTTCTGTCTCTGACGGAGCCTCGCTGATGCTAAATGTTGGCTCCACAGGGGGGCGAGTTAAAACCTGGAAGAGGAGATGGTTCATTCTCACAGACAACTGTCTTTACTACTTTGAGTACACCACAGTGAGTCTATTTTTTACTCCGTTACAGCTCACCAACATCTGTTCAGTGCTTCTTACCTATTTATATATTTTGCAGGACAAAGAACCACGAGGAATCATCCCGCTGGAGAACTTGAGCATCAGGGAGGCAGAGGATAAGAAGCCGGTGAGTACAGCTCCCCCTGCTGGCTCATTACAGTTAGGTTTAGCAGCAATTTTATTAATGACTTTAGTTTTCACCTTATTAATAACTTTTTAAATTCCTTTCCACTATTTTTTCAGAATTGTTTTGAGCTTTACATTTCTGAGAGCAAGGATCAGGTAATAAAAGCGTGCAAAACTGAGGCTGATGGGCGTGTTGTGGAGGGCAACCACACCTTCTATCGTATCTCTGCTCCCACCGCTGAGGAGAAAGAGGACTGGATGAACAGCATAAAGTAAATATATAAAGATTTATCCTGTTGACTCTTTACAATATAGCATAAGTTATTTAAATGCAAGGCAGTATGCTAGATGGGTTTATGCTGGACCGAGTCCAAACATTTACCGTACTTGCCGCCGTACACGTCACACCGCCGTATAAGTTGCATAAGTCCAAATATGTCTAATAAAGTGGAAAAAAAACATAAATACATCGCTTTGCCGTATAAGTTGCATCTATTATGCGTCACCGCTGACCACCTGGAAATGTGGGCCGGTGTTGTGCCAAAAATCTATTGGCTGCCAAATGGCCGCCGCGGGAGCATCCACGGGAGGACTTTAACGAGAATTTAACAAGATTAACACTTAAAAACAATTATTTGTTTGCTCAAAATTATAGCAAAGGTGTTTCTATGTTGAACTTTTCTTTAATAAATGCACTTTAAGGGTCAAATCAGCTTCATTTCGCGTGGGCGGAGAAATGCAGCTGATTTGAGTTTGCTCCAGGAGTTCTGGAGCAGATGAAGGTGGCTCTGTATGGCAAGCCAAGTGTCTCAATAATAGCTACTTTTACCTATTAACGAGACAATTGACTTGCCATTTTGCTCGAGGGCCTTCTAGTGGCTGAAAATGTTAGTGTTCAATATTTTCCATGTCAGAATGAATGAAATCATCAGATCTCAACCAAAAATTGGATTATTAATATGAAGAAAAAAACGTTGCTAAAAAATAAATAAAATAAACTTGTCGCTTCGGTGTATAAGTTGCAGGAATTGCAAATTTATGCAGAAAGCTGCGACTTCTACGGTGAAAAATACAGTAAATGTAACATTTTTGAAAACGTGCACTAATAAACACCTGTTACCTTGGATGCTGTGACTTACTGCACTGCCTTTACATGACCTGTTTGGCTCAATGGCACTGAGCAGCAGTTTAGTAGCTTTGCATCAGTCACGTTTTTATTTCCACTTCTGGGAAATTAAACCCAGTAGATAAAAGTTGCACAGCAGTGATTCTGAATCCTGGTTTCATCAGCTCTTAATGGCTCATCAGTGATCTAAACGCCTCTGGTCCCACATATTCACACATTCCTTCTTTAGTTCTCTTTAAGTTCTTTGGGTTTCACCTTCTCTACATGCTGATTGTTTAAATGTCTATCAGTGGGGTTTTTTTTAAGTAATGTTTGAAAGTTGATGTAAACATAAGATAAAATATTAATATTTCAACATATCAGATGAGTTGATTTTTCTTTGGTTTTAATTGGGTTAGAGGGAACTTGTATTTTTGAACCAAGGTATTGAGTGTCTAAATGTTCTTATTGTATTAATTGAATTATTGGTGTTCTGCTCACACATCTCTGGACAGTTTATCAAATAAAGAATGGAACAAAGTTTCTAATCTCACACCTGATTTCACCACTTTTCTTTATTGTTTCCACAGGGCTGCCATCAGCAGGGACCCTTTTTACGAGATGTTGGCGACCAGAAAGAAGAAGGTGTCGTCCGTTAAGAGGCACTAGAGCTGCTCAACTTTTCTGACATTGCACTTGACAGAGCGGTGGGGGTCCGGCTGTTTGCTCGCCCTATCTGGGTCGATGCAGAGGCCACAGTGGAGGTCTGACCTCTTCAAGGGATTCCTCAAGGACTGATTCTAGGACTGCAGGCAGAAAAATCAGGAAGCATGCTGGTGTGTTAAATCCTAACCTCCCGCCTAATGGCCGCCCTTTTTCTTTCACACCTCGGCATGTTCTCTCCCTTTGGAGCAGGAATGAGATGTTGCTATTTAACTAAAGAAAAATCTCCTTTGAAGAGGCTTTAAACACCTTCCCCATCTCAAGTTTCATAAACATTGTACAAATACCCAACAAAATTTCCTCTTTGCACACTTTGTTTTAACTCAGCAGGTCTGACCCGAGTGTGGCAACCCAACCAAACTATTCACTGTCTGAAAGAAAATATCTTTTTCTAATCTGTTTTCAAAAGTTTTATGTATTTTTTACTGCTTTTAATGTTTGTTGATTCCTATCAAGTTTACTTTGTTTCTTTGCTTTTTAATACGAGTATTTTGTAGCAGAAGCTGTTCAGAGGCTGTTGGAGGTCTGATTAGTACTTCTATGTAAATTTTAAAAAAGGAACATGAAAACATTTCTGTTACTTAAAAAAAAAAAAAAAAAAAAGAAGAAGAAGAAAAAAAAGAGTTGCCACTCGAGATTTGTTTTGGAGACTGAAAAACCTAAAAACATGACGACAATGCAAAGAATAAAGTGCTCGGCTTGGACTGAAGAGTTTTTGTAAACGTGAAGCTGCAGCGGAGGGACGTGTCGGATCAAACTGGTTCCTGAAGGTTCTGGACAAGAAACCCAAAGGCATAATTCTCTGGGTTTCTCAGCCCTTATTCATCTCTGCCTGCACTTTTAATTTGATTTGAAACAAGATCAGTATGACCCCAAAGTAACTTAACGTTAGATCAACTAGTGCTCGGTGCTTTAGTCTAATTGCTGCTGGTTGGCAACCATGGTTTGAGCTCTTTAGTTTTTTTTTGGTCAAGCATAGATTTTATTTTTTCTGCCTTTTATACTCTTTGTTTTGTAGAATAATCTTATTGTCAAAAAAGAACCCATATTGTTTGATCAATCTAAAATACTGTGCTTCAGGTAGTTAAAGCCATACTGTACGACGTGTTGATGATTTAATGGAGCGCTGAAACTACAAAAAAAGTGCTTTAAGGTGTCTCAGGATGTTTGATTATGAAACTATTCTTCTTATATCTGCAGTGCGTTTAGCTAGAATGAAGTGGCTGGGTGTGTTGCGGCAGTGATGCGTTAAAAAACAAAAAAACGTAAGGCATAAATTCATAAATACGTTACTTTGTTCATCAAGAAGTTTTTTCTGTTGCTGCTGTACATAACTGTTGCTCCTAAACAGTTTAATTTCTTCCTCCTTTTTTTTATGCACTGCATCCAGTGAATTAGGAAAACAAAACGGCCATTCTTCTCAGCAGTATTGACTTATTTATCAAAATTGTACATATTTAAATGTATAGTGGGCATTTTGTCCTTTTTTTTAATAGTTCTGCCTTTTTTCTTTAGTACACTGTAATAAATTTCTGGATTTCATCATTGTCATTTAATCAACCTGAAATAAAGCCTTATTTGTCTCAACATTGACTGTTATAAAATCTTTAAGGTGCAGTTGTAGAAGTTCTCCAGCAAGTGGCAGCATGAGGCTGCACCCTCACAAACCCTTAATGAGTTTATGAGTAAAGATATCTCTGTCTGCACCTTGTCCATGAATCCTGAATATTTCTACTTGAGGGTGGTGTTAAAACTGATTATTTCTTTTTTTTTTGTTTTGATCATTCTTATTCATGGCATGCTTTAAACTGCCTCCATAAATTACAAATCATTTTATTTAAAAGTGTTTATGGCACCAGATGTTGCGTCGGCAGGTCTGTTTGCAGGTGAACATGTATCATATTCAATGACTCCTGGAAAAGCAGCCAATAGAAATGAGTTTCTCAGGAGGCTGAAAACCGCACGGTCATGCTGTGAGATGAGCAGCACGTTAGAAATAATGACTAAAGTGAATTAAAACTCACATGCACTCTGTTTTTTTTTTTTTGTTGAATTATTCTGTGGCGTTATTAAATTACTGAAAAGACAAAAGTTGAATATTATCCAAGGAGGGAATGCAGCCCATAGTCTTTTCTATAAGACGAAAGGTTAAAACCCTCTTAGCTCATCAGAAACTTTTTACTGTTAACATGTCTTACTTAGTTTATTAACATCCTGCGTTCAGACACATCTTGTATCTGTACGTGCTCACATCCAACAGCTGGTGAGATCCATCAGGGAAAATTAACGCGACTGTCCAGATGTGTCATATCTGAGAAAAGACTAGTCACCTGAACTGAACTGAGCGATCAAGGACAAAGTTCTGGTCACCGAAGGAGATTTTTCATGCTCATTGGTGATACTTTCTAACTTTCCTTGAAGGAACATCCATCGGTTAAAGCAGGGGTGGGCAACAATTTTATCAAGAGGGCCAAATCAAGATATTTAAAGCAATCGAAGGGCCACAGAGAGAATTGGAAAATAATTTATTTTAAAGATGGATAATCTGGAAGACGGTGTTGTTCTTGTCTTGTTAGCATGCTTGATAAAGAAAAGTCTCCCGGATACTCTTTCAGAATATAAGACAACTCGCTGTAAACTGGCTCTTGTGATAATATATTAGCTTAAAAATATATACTTTTTTTTTTTTTTGGAGCTTTTAAAATTCAGTCTAATATTGGAACAACAACTTGAAATAAAAAGTTTTAGCCCACTTAACCCAAAGGCTTTTGCTGTATTTATCCAAAATGTGTAATTTAGACTTCCTTCCATTGATAAAATGCAGGTTTTCATTAATTTATCTAAAAGTTGTTTTCTTCCCAGTTAAGGCTAATGGGGGGCCAGATAGAGAGCGTCCAAAGGCCACATTTGGCCCACTGACCATATATTGCTCACATCTGGGTTAGAAAGACACACGCAGGTGAAAGTTAGGTGGTGTTTAAAGGGCACCACCTTTTAGAAGCCTCATCACTGCCATTTGTGACTGTATGAAAAGGATTTAGCATATTATGAGCAGGAACATTTCTGTTTTAAGAAAATATGGGATTATTTGATTCCATTTGTTGTGAATTTCCAAACTTTTTTTTTTTTGGATGAAATTCATCGGATTTTGAATTAAACTCATTCCTACAACAACTTCAGAGAACTACACCATTCTGTTGTAATGTTTTTTTTTTCCCCATGCAAAACAAACTGGAAAACTAATGGTTAAACTGGAACAATGTGTAGTTCAGGATCAGGATATTCGGAGCATTTTAGCCAAGAAAAATCGTAAACATACAATTATAGAAGTTCTAACGAGGTTAAGTCAGATCCTCTGGATGAATCCTTGTCAGAGGTTCTGACTTAACCTTGACAGTTTTTTCTAGCTGGATTATTGAGCATGCACCAAGACCCCTACATGAGTACATGTAGCTCAAGGTGAAGGTGAAGCAGAGGAAACCTGACTCTGAAATGACTCGTCCAAGACGAGCAGCAGGCACTACCAGAGGATTGTGGGCTTAAAAGTCTGCTTTTTGTTTTAAAGGAGCTCCAAATCTACACGCCTTGCAGCCTGAAACACAAACTACTCTGCTCTGAACATGTAGAAACATTTGAAGACATATGTTGCAATCATTTAAAAGAAAATATTTTTCGTGCATTCTTGTTTCTGCATTTATAAATGAAATAAAAGCAATAAACTTTTAGAGAAACTCATCCTTTTCGGTCTCGCCTGATATTTAGCCAACACTTTCTGCCAGCTTTATGTCTCAGACGAACAAGTTATTGAGAAATTCATTTAAAGGAGCATCTTAAAGTGTTTCAGGGCCAAAGGTTCACAAGTAGAAACTTGCTTATCTGGGTAGAAAAAGGCAGCAAAGCCAGGAAGAATGACTTTCAAAGCTCCTTAGATCTGAATTTATCTTTATTTTTTGATCAAATCATGTTTAAAAGAAGCCTCAAATCATTCACTGCCTGTTTATTTACCCACAAGCGCAAATTATGAAACCGTTTGTTCCAGATGTGCTCCAAAAAACTCAACTGTAAGATACTAAATTTGCATTTGTACATTTGGCCTTTAAATGAATACAGCACTTTTAAGCAAAACAAAATAAAACCTAAGTGGATGAGAAGTTGCCTACAATCATCTTTGCATGAATACTTTTGAACAATATTTTGCATTGCCGCTGTAGCACCAGGACAAGTGCGTTTATGAGAATTTTTAAGCAACGCTAAGGAGGTGAGAGCGGCTGATGGGAAATGAGGCAGGAAGAGACGAATGAAAACGAAAAAGTGTGAACCTGTGGTGGTTGTGAAGCTGCAGCAGCACATGCACGCTTTGTTTTTAATGATCTGCTCTGAGTGCACACCGAAAAATACACGTTTCTTGAGAGAACAGGAACATGATCTGCAGGAGGGAGGCTTTCATCAGCAGTTACAACCTGAACGATAGCAGGTGTTGGTACATGCAGTGCTGCAAGGAAATCCATGGAGCCATCTGCACCCAGAGGCATAAATTAAAGTTTGATAAACCCAGCAGAGTTCATCTGAGGTCTCTCTCACGGTGTCATGTCAGAGTTGTCTTTCTGTGGTTGAGTAAAGAGGACATGCAGGCCTCGGCCCATAGCAGCAGAATTCTCCGTCTCCGTCAGTAAGTGGAGACATATGGGACCAGTCAGGTTCCAATTATGCCCAGATTGTTTCCCAGAAGCTCTGGAATCCTCCCCTGGCCTCTTGTTTCACCGGCGAGGAGTGAGGAGTGCACCTCAGGATGTCCTCGGCTGGCGTGAGACCAGCCTGTGCATGCGCAGACGCTCATTCATTCAAAGAATTTTGGTGATCGTCATTTAAAAATAAGCAGAGGAATCACTTTGATCTGGGGGAAAGGAGCGTGAATGCTGAGAGCCGAATGATTGTTGCTGAAATTTGCAGATAAAGCTGAAGCTGAGCTGTTACAGCTACAAGAAAAGGAGCACCAACTAAAAACGAGAAGGCCAAAGGAACAAATAAAATAGCCAAACTCTTGCTAAAAGTTCAAAGTAGCAAAAGGTTAGCTAAAAGAGAAAGTAGCAAAATGCTAGCAAAAAGCCAAATTGTGCAAAAGGGAGCTAAAAGTTAAGAAGCAAAACACTCCCCAAATGTTGCAAAAGGCTAGCTAAAAGCTACATTTAATTTACTTTAAATTAATAAACTGTATTAATATTATTTATATTTTTTATTCTATTTTATACATTTTATTTAAATTTATTTTTAATATAAATTTAATTTAAATCTAATTTACAATTTTGTTCCACCACATGTACCTCATGTGGTGTGTATGACAAATAAAGAAACTTTGACTTTTGACTTTAAAAGTGGTCAAAATGCTACCAAGAGGCCATAGCTATAGTTTGATTAGCTGAAGTTGATGTAAACGTTAGGTAGAAGCTAAAAGCAGTCAAAATGCTAGCAAGAGGCTATATAGTATATAACTAGCTGAAGTTTAAGTAAAGGCTAAGTAGAAGTTAAAAGCAGTCAAAATGCTAGCAAGAGGCTATATAACTAGCTGAAGTTTAAGTAAAGGCTAGGTAGAAACTAAAAGCAGT